GTGTGTGTGTGTGTGTGTGTGTGTGTGTGTGTGTGTGTGTGTGTGTATGTGTGTGTGTGATCCTTGCAGATAAACTTACAGGTGTTTTTTGTGTATCTCTGATCTTTACTCCCATTCTGTTATAGAGAAGTAAGTACTCCTTTTTAGTACGGTGTCTATCTTTATTTTATATTATTTTATATGCACTGGTGTTTTGCCTGCATGTACATCTATGTGAGGGTGTCAGGTCTTGGAGTTACAGACAGTTGTCACTGGTTCATTGTTTTTGTTCTTGTTTTATTTTTTGTTTGCTTGCTTTTTTTTTTTTTTTTTTTTTTTTGAGACAGGGTCTCTTACAGCCCAGAGTGGCCTTGAACCCCTTATCCTTTGGCCTCTGGTTTCTGAGTGCTGGGAAAACTATCGTGTGTCATCACGTCTTTAAAAAAGTCTGCCGGGCAGTGGTGTCGCACGCCTTTAATCCCAGCACTCGGGAGGCAGAGCCAGGTGGATCTCTGGATCTCTGTGAGTTCGAGGCCAGCCTGGACTACCAAGTGAGTTCCAGGAAAGGCGCAAAGCTACACAAGAAACCATGTCTCAAAAAACAAAAAACAAAAAACAAAACAAAACAAAAGAAAGTCTTTGCAGGAGGCTGGAGAGACAACTTAGTAGGTAAGAGTCCTTGCTATGCAAACACTTGCGCTTGGGTCCCAGCACCCACGAAAAAGGTCGAACAAGGCCACACGTGCTTGCTTGTAACCACCCAGTGCTGGTGGAGAAGGTTGGAGACAGGAGGATGGCTGGGTCTTGCTGGCTGCCAGCCTGGCTCCAGGTTCAGCGAGAGACCTTGTCTGAAGGGAGTAGGCAGAGTTAGTGACAGAGCAGGCCGCCTGTCTCACAGGTGCTCAGTGGCGAGCGTGTGTGCACGCACAACCTTCTCAGGAAAGTCAGTGTGCTGGCGCACCCTAGTGTGATAGCACTTGAGAGGGAGGAGGATCAAGAGCCATTCTTAGCCGTGTGGCACGTGGCAAGTTCAAGGCCAGTGTAGGCCGCATGAGACCCTGCCTAGAAAGAAAAACAAATCACCGGTGTGAGTGCTCAGAGAGGGCAAAGCACTTCCTGAACAAGCCTGGTGACCTGAGTTCACCGGCTGGAGCCCACCTAGAGGTGGAGGCCGAGAACTGACCTCCACACACGCACACTGTGCCCACACTACACTGCACACGTGACACACCATGATAATTTGAGAAATCGTTACACCCTTGGTGGTGTCTGCAACCACTGTGTGCTTGCCTAGGGATGTCAGGATCTGTGTGGTACTGAGAACGCTGTTCCAGGAGCCGTGGGAGTCTGAGTCAGAGGCCGGTGACCTCTGGCTGCCTCAGTCCAGACTTCAGATGGTGTCCTGGAAGAGTTCGATATTCGTGTGAGTGTGGACGTATGTTGGACATTTTTGGTGATCTATGGGATAGTACCAGATGGGAATAACTAACAGAAGCCTAAATCTAAAATGTATTTATAAGTGGGGTGAAATTTTCTCCTCCTCCTCTGACATGATCCCAGGCTTCTAAGACTTGGTGTTTAATTTGACAGTCGGCATCCCCCAAAGTCCTAAAACTTTCCCTCATGATAAAGATGTTCTATTGTAGCTCATGCTGTTGTTCACTTCGATTCTCTTAGGCTGTCAGGGCTGAGCAGACAAACTCAGGCAATGACCGGTGAGTCAGGTGTCGGAAGTGTTTCAGTAGCCGGGACAAGTTACTTAGGCCCACCAAGACTGTCTTCTGCTCTGTGAAATGGGAACAGTGCCACCTGTCTTGGAGATCTGCTGACAAAATAGACATGATGTTTGTCTAGCCCTGCGTGTACCCACTGTGTCCTGGGTACGGTTAAAGCCAAATCAAGTGGTTTTGTTTTTGTTTTTTTGTGAGACCAGGTCTTAAGTAGTCTGGAATGGGCTCAAATAGCCAAGTTTGGGTTTCGGATTCCCCTGCCTCTACCTTCCTAGAGCTGGGATTGCCAGCATTCACCATCACATCTGGGCTTTTAAAATTTGTTGTTTATTATGGCCCTAGGTGAGTGTAGGTATCCAACTATTGCTGCACGTGTGGTGGGACAGTCAGAGATCAGTTTTCAGGAGTCTTTTCTCTCCTCTCCTTCTACCGTGGTTTCTGGGGGGTGGAGTCAGTCCTCAGACTTGGGCAGGTGAGCCAACTCACCACACTCTCACTTATTCAGTGCTGAGGATCCCAGCAGGGCTAGCGGTTTGTGCATCCCAGGCAAACACCCCCAGCTGAGCCCTGGCCCCAGCCGACTTCAGGACTTCAGGTTCTAGTCTAGTCTTTTTCCTCTTTGCCTCAGTTTGTGTTAGATATTATGTAAAATGCAAAGAAACCGGGTGTGTGGGTGGGAGATCTTAGTCCCCAGTCCTGCAGGGGCTGAGGTGGGAAGGACAGCAGGAGGTCACACTGAGCAGCGGGAACAAGTCTCAAGCTAAAGCAGAAAAACCAGCCAAGGACACGTTGCTGCTCAGAGACTCTGGCCACATCCAGCTCCAGTCCTTGCGGATGTTTCTAGCAGTGTTCTCAGAGCAAGGCCAGGCCCATCATCTGCTGAGAGACTTCGCTTACTCACGATTCTGCTTTAAAAGGCACTTAACAAACAGGACCACAATAAACTTTAGTTTTACAGTCAAGTGGGACTTGGCTGCAAGCTATGAACACAGAGAGAGGGCTGCAGAAAAGGAAGGTTCTGAGCCAGCCACACCAGGGCGACGCGCATGCTCAGAAATGCGATTCGGGCCTCTCTGCTTGCTTATTCAGACCCTCTTCTTGGAGACTGCTGCCCAGGGACTGGGTCCCCAGCAGGAAAGAGGCTCAGGGGGTGACTTTTAGTTTAGGGGGAGGAAGCTTGTAGAAGGGTGTAGACTTGAACGCTGGCTGGTGACCTTCGGCAAGCTGTGAGATCTCTCTGAAGATCAACTTATGATGGACAAATGTCAGCGCTTCACAGAGCTAATGAAAAATGAAGCAGAGGGCTTGGATGTGGAGCACAGAACTCTGAGATCATGGCTGAACTTAGTCAAGATGGGATGAAGACTTCATCTCTTAAAAAAAATTGTTATTAGCTGGACGCGGTGGCGCATGCCTTTAATCCCAACGCTTGGGAGGCAGAGGCAGGAGGATCTCTGTGAGTTTGAGGCCAACTTGATCTGTAGGGAGAGTTCCAGGACAGCCAAGGCTACACAGAGAAACCCTGTCTCAAAGAAAAAAAGATACAGGTCAAACCAAGCATCCAGGCATGGTTTGGCTGTCTATTCCTGTACTCTAAGCATTCAGGAGGCAGAAACAGGAGGATCAGGGGTCAAGACCAACTCTTGATATATAGGAAATTCAAGACCAGCTGGGACTACATGAGACCCTTTCTTAACAAAGAAACACCACTGAAATGAGACCCATGAGTTCCTTGGCCCAGCCTCACTCTTGAGCACGCTTGCACTTGCTTCCCGCTTCCTCCTCTGTCAGACCTGCTTCCCGCTTCCTCCTCTGTCAGATGTCTGACCACTCTCTCTCTCTCCTTTACTCAGGCGGCTTTCTGTGTCTCAAGGTGAATCTAGACCGTGCGTGTCTGGGGCTTCTTGATTTCTTTTTGTAAGGAGCTACACTCAGGGAAGATCATAAGAGGCTGGGGATGTGGCTTAGTAGGTTGAGTGTATGAAGCCCTGGATTTGACCCCAGCACTGCATACATTGTTGTGGTGGCAAACTCCCAGAATTCTATCACTGGAGAAATAGAGATGGGTAACATCATGAGGTCAAGGTCATCCTTCACTACATAGTAAGTTTACGGGCAGCCTGAGCTAACTGAGACCCCGTCTCAAAAGTAAAACAAGGGCTACCAAGATGGCTCAGTGTGTAAGAAAGACTTACTGCATAAGACTAACAATCCGAGTTTGATTCCTGAAATGATCAACGAAGGGAGAGAATCAACACTGGAAAGCTGTCATCTGACCCTCACGTGAGTGCAGTGACATTTGGGACCCCAAACTTACACATACACATTGTGCATTCTAAGCACAAGAGAAGTTCTTTTGAAATCTCCAGCTCCAAGTCCCCATTGGACTCCAAAGCGCTCTGCTTCTCTAGTGGGTCCTGGTCACACAGGGGTGGCACTCTTCTCATTTCAGAGTGTCTGGCATACTAGGTCAGCCGGCTTCCGAGTCACTTCATGCAGACAGGCCAACATTCTTTTTTGATTTCTGCCTAGTATTTTGTTTGATTGTAGGAAACATTTTGAAAATACCCCCCCCCCCTTTTTCTTTTTTAAGTATGTGGTTTTACTTTATAGAAATACTTGTCGTAGGTCTTTGGAAAGCGTCCTAATCACAGAAATCATCCAAAGCCTCCAGCCCCGCTCTCAAGATGGCTTCTTCCATAGGCCTGGAGGGGAATGGGACAAGTTTTTGAAATTATTTGTTTTTATTTATCCTTTTTGCTTGTTTGTTTTTTGGGACAGGGATTCCTTGGTAGCTTTGGCTGTCCTACAACTAGTCCTATAGATCAGGCTGGCCTCGAACTCACAGAGATCGGCCTGCCTCTGCCTCCCGAGTGCTGGGATCAAAGGGTGTGTGCCACCACTACCCGGCTTTATTTATCGTTTAATGTGTATCAGTATTGTGCCTGTGTGTATGTATGTGCACCACGTGAATGCCTGGTGCCACGAAAGTCAGAAGAGGGTTTCAGATTCCCGGGAACTGGAGCTGTGGATGGCTGAGAGCCACCATGAGTGCTTGGAATTGAACCCAAATGCTTGGCAAGAGGAAGTCCTCTTAACCACTGAGCCACCTCGAGTCCCAGGAGAGCAATTTTTAATCAATGCCCAGGGAATTTTTTTTTGAGGGGCGAGGGGCAGGTTTCATGTAACCTAGGCTGGCCTTGAACTCCCAATCCTCCTGCACTTAGGAGGTGGAGGCAGGAGGATTGCTGTAAGTTTGAGTCTAGCCTGTTCCCTGTAGCAAGGATCCAGCAACCCAGACTGTCTCAAAAAAAAAAAAAAAAAAAAAAAAAAAAAAAAAAAAACCAAACCAAAAATGCATAGCAGCAGAGTCCTAGCTTGTTGGATCTTTTCCATATTTAATGTTGTGATAGACGTCTACTTGCTATGACAGGCTAAATGAGACAACCACATAAGGGAAGGGGGAGTTATTTTGCTGTAGGTTCAGAGATCTGAGTTGGGGCTCCTTGGCCTCGGTCATTTGGGGCTGTGGCAACAGAGAAGACCCAGGACCTATAGGAAGCAGAGTGACAGGAAGAGGCCAGGGGCAGGAAACAGCCTCCACAGGCACACCTACTTCCTCTAATTAGGACCCACCTCCTACTGGACATCCCTCCAGCAGCACCATAGTGCAGGGATCCATGGGAAGAGCAGAGCCTTAACTCAGGTGAGCAGGAAGTAG